CCAATTATTCACAATGTTATCCATAATTTATTATGATCCACACAGTCAAATGCCTTTGCATAGTCAATAAAACACAGGTAAACATCTTTCCGGTATCCTCTGCTTTCAGCCAAGATCCATCTGACATCAGCAGTGGTTATCTGTTTAAATCACTAATATTAGATTTTCTGTTACTTGCAGCCAAACTAGTTCCTTTGCATTTCTATATAATTTTAGAATAATTTTGCCTATATCGATTTTCTCCATTATTTTTCTGTTCTCAATTCCATTGATTTCTGCTCTTTATTATTGCCTTACATCTGCTTGCTTTGGGTTTATTTTGCTCTTATTATTTATTTATTTATTTTACTTTGCTCTTATTTTTCATATTCTTGAAGTGGGAGCTTAGATTATTGTTCTCCTCTTTACTAATGTAAACATTTAGTGCTATAAATTTTCTCTCAGCACTGCTTTATCTATGTCCCACAAATTTTGAGATGTTGTATTTTTATTTTAATTCAATATAATTTTTAAAAAATTTTTCTTGAGACTTCCTCTTTGATCCATGGATTGTTTAGAAATGTGTTTAGTTTTCAAGTGTTTGGAGAGTTTCCTGTTATCTTTCTGTTATGGTGTTTCTAGTTTAATTCCATCGTATTCAGTGAATACACTCTGTATGATTTCAATTCTTCTAAATTTGTTGAGTTTTGTCTCATGGCCCAGGATATTACCTATCTTGGTATATGTTCCCTGGGTATTTGTAATTTCTATTGTTCTGTTTTCAAGTTCAGTGATTCTTTCCTCTGTCCCTTCCATTCTGCTGTTTGAGCTCATCCATTGAGTTTTTTTAAAAAAATTTCATACATTATCTATCTTATTCAGATAGCAGTCTGATCACACATGGTCGAAGAACATTCAAATAGTAAACCAAATATAATCAGATGTTAAAGACTGGTCTTCAAACATCATAGCCAATGATGTCACACTTGGCCACCAAATCATTAGCAGAGCTTCCTTAACCATGAGCTGTTTCAATCGACCAGTTTGAGCACTATTGACTTTTTTTTTTTTTTTTGGCTCTGAATAGCTGCAGGGATCTCAGCAGGGATTGGCATAGTGCCAAAACGTGGCTAATAAAGGCTTCAAGTAAGTCACAGCAGCATTTACCATCGTTGGAACCTTTTCTACCAGGTTATGGACAAACTGGGCCATGGTTCTAGGATGGAAAGCCTGTTGCCCCCAACAGCCTGCTGAATGTCACACCTGGGAAGGACCTGCTGCAGGACCCTGCCCCACTTCCAAGGTCAGTCCTCCTCTTCCATCCATTGAGTTTTTAATTTTGTTTATTTTTCAGTTCTAAAATTTCCATTTGGTTCTTCTTTATACCTTCTATTTCTTTGCTGAGGCTTTCTATTTTTTCATTTGTTTCAAGCACGTATGTAATTGCCCATCAAAGCATTTTTATGTTGGCTGCTTTAACATCTCTGTCAGATAATTCTAAAAATCTCTGTCATCTCAGTGTTTGTATCTATTGATTATCTATTTTCATTTAGTTTGACCTCTTTCTGGTTCTTAGTATGATGAGTGATTTTCAATTGAACATTTTAGGCTTCACGAAACAGTGCATCTTATTTAAACCTTCTGTTTGAGCTGGCTTTCTCTGACACTACTCTGTCAGGAAAAGGGGGGTCATCACCTCATTCCTGTTAGGGGGGTGTCATTGTGTAGGTTCCCCATTTGGAGTCCTTATTACCGCCTGGCAGGGGTGGGAGTTCTGGCTCTCCACTAGGCATCAACTAATACCTACTTGGCTGGGAGGGACGGGAGTGCTTTGTTACTGCTCCACTGACATCAAGGGAGGAAAGGGGACTGGTAGCCTCCCTAGCACTAGGTCTCCTATGACACCATTCCAGTGGTAGTGTAGCTATCACTGTGAAGGGTGAAAGTCAAGGTTGTTCACGTGATGTCTCCACTGACACTGAAGTGGGAGAGGGGTACACATTATCAGCCAGTGGGAATAAAAGTCCTGGCTCCTTACTTGGTCTTCGTTGACACCACTTCATCAGGGGGTTTGGGGCACCTCATTACAGCCTGGACGGGGCAGAAGTCTAGGCTCCCTACTTGGCCTTTGCTAACATGGGTGAAGGTGGTGCCACATATTTTTCTGTGGTTTTTGACTATAGAGTAGAACAGTTATTGTCTAAAAGTTTTCAGTCTTACCCGCTGTCCTTTTCCTGGCCCTTTGGCTAATGAGAGCTGGCTTTTGTTGGGGCTTTTTCTCAGGATTTCAAACTGGTTCATTTAGGTTCAAACCCCTGCTGAGAACTTGCATTTCCACCCCAGGTATACTGAATCAGAATCTACATTTTAACAAGATCCCCAAGTGATTCTTATGTATAATAAATTTTGAGAACTACTGCTCTACTAGTGGAGCCCTGGTGGTGCAGTGGTTAAGCGCTTGGTTGTTAACCAAAAGGTTAGGAGTTCGAATCCACCAGCCGCTCCTCAGAAATCCTATGGGGCAGTTCTACTCTGTCCTATAAGGTAGCTGTGAGTCGGAATCGACTCGATGGCAATGAGTTTGGTTTGGTTTTGGTTCTACTAGTGGTTCTCAGAATTGGTCCCTAACCAGCAGCATTAGCATCATTTTCTTAAAAATGCAAATTCTCAGGAGGAGTTCCCACCCCCACCCCCGCCACCCCGTCTGTGCCTGTTGATGTTTCTGGGTTGCCAGCTTTTCCAGCTCCAAGTCTGGGACGTATGAGGTAAAAAGAAAACTCGGAACTCACCACCATGATTCTCCTTGGGTCCTGAGGACCCTAACTTGTGTGATTTCGTCTCTTCACAGAGTCTACTTATGTTTGTTCTATATATAATGTCTTGGGGTTTTTAGTTCAACTTAGCAGGAAGAATAGAAAAAAGTATATCTACTTCATCTTACCGGAAGCAGAAGTCCTCAAATCTTCTTTTATATAAGCCAGTTTGAATGGATTTCTGTTTCTTACAAAGAAATGATTCTTGACTAAAATACATATGAAGAGCTTAAACTTAACTTTTAAGGCAACGGGGAGCCAATGAAGGCTTTCAAGCCAAAGAGGATATTCAATAATAATAATGCCTTATCTCAAAATGAAAATGACATTTCCAAATAATTACTCAATATTCCTACCACAGTAGATTCAAACCCTGCTATCCTAAGAAGATATTAGGTTGTAAGAGCTAGTTGGTCTCACTGGGTTTCTGTGATCAAAGAAAAGGGCATCCACGCACACCTGGTTTGGAATATTTACTTCTTTCGGAATAGTGTCAGAGAACTTGGCAGATTTGGAAGGGCCGGTCTTGTAGAAGCTCTCGCTTTCCCTGGATCTTCCATGTTTAATATGACCAGTTCTGATTAAAGAAGCAAGAGTACACCTTGAGGTTGGAGTGGTAACATTAGACCCCACCTATCTGTCTGCTAACAAGGCCCATTCTCTTGGGAATGGGGGAAGGTGCTCATCTTTGCCTAAGACAGCAGCAGGGTGACACAGTCAGCTTGTTAACCATTATCCAATATCATTTAACAATCATACATGAACTTTGTAGTAATTATACTCATTATATATGATTCATAAGGATATTGAAAATTACTGCAAGAAAATAATAATTTTTACATGTTTACTTGAGTTCACTGGAAAGCATTATGTAGACAATTATTTTTAGACAAATAAACTTCTACATAATCTCATTTAAAAAAATCAAACGGCAAATAGATTAAAGTCTGTCCCTTTTCTTCACATTTGCAGTCATGATGTCTTTAAGGCTTAGTGCAAGCAATAGTTCAAATACTGGTTTTGGTAACTGCTCACTTCACTTGAAGCTAGTTTACTCCATCAGTTGTCTGGAGAGCAGTTCACCTAAAATATTCAAATATGTTTGAGCTGCAGCTTAAACTTTTGGGAGTTTTTATATATTTAAGTATTCATTTGCTTAATGATGAGAACACCTAAAATTCAACCCCCTTTTGAGTGTTCTGCATGAGTTTGTGCATCCTAAAATAAAAAAAATAAAAACAAAGTAAAGCAATACCTGGAGCAATAGAGGAAGACGGAGTGTCAGAAATAGGAGGAGGAACAAAAAAAAAAAGACCAAACTTACTGGCCTGACAGAGACTGGAGAAATTCCAAGAGTATGGCCCCTGGACATCCTTTTAACTCAGTACTGAAGTCACTCCTGAGGTTCACCCTTCAGCCAAAGATTAGGCCCGTAAAACAAAATGAGACTAAATGGACACACCAGCCATTTAGTGTGCAGGGGCAAGGACAAGAAGGCAGGAGGGAACAGAAAAGCTGGTAGGGGGGAACTCAAGGTCAAGCAAGGGAGAGTGTTGACAAGTTGTGGGGTTGGCAACCAATGTCAAAAAACAATAGGTGTATTAATTGTTTAATAAGAAATTAGTTTGCTCTGTAAACCTTCATCTAAAGTACAAAAAAGAAAATTAATATTTCCATTATCAAAATGTATGCTGATTTAAATTTTTATTGTACTGTTACTCCAAAAAATTCTAAAATTGTCTACAGAAGATTCTATAAATATACAAAAGAAATATATAAGATTATTCTAATTATACAACAAAATCAAGAGAATATATTTCTTAAAAAAAAAAAAAAGATTCTGGTAATACTTGTTTTGTTAGGTTTGCAAACTTCTCTTCATATCATTGCTCTTACATTTCCTGCCTGGCATTTCCTTTATTTTTAGTGTATTTTAAATGTCTTTAAAATGGTGGGATATAAGAAAGAAATTTTTGTATACATTATATTTTTAAGTATCCATTTTCTTAATCTACTAAAGTAAACTTTTGTAAAGAAAGAAAAAAAAAAAGAAATAGGAGGAGGATATGGAATGTGTGGCTAATTGCCTCCATGAACAACTGCCTCCTTTGCCATGAGACCAGAAGAACTGGATGGTGCCCAGCTACCATTACTGAACATTTTGATCAAGGATTCCATAGAAGAATCCTGACCAAAGGGGGAAATTAAGAACAGAATTTCAAATTCTCATAGACTCTAGACTTTCTGGAGCCATGGAGGATGGATGAACCCCTGAAACTACTGCCCTGAGATAATCTTTAAAACTTAACCCAACAATATCCCCTGAAGTCATCTTAAAACCAAAAAATAGTTTAGCTTCACTAATAAAAAATGTCTGCCTTGAGCATTATGCTCTTTTAAGAACTATCTATATGGGATCAGACGGACAACAGCAACTTGAAAGATTAGATTGGAACCTTAGGGGGCAGTAATTTTATGTTAATGAGGGAAGAACAACTCAGAAAAGGAGGGTGAGAATGGTTGCACAACTTGAAGAATGTAATCAATGTCACTAAACTGTACATGTAGAAACTGTTAAATTGGTGTATGTTTTGCTGTGTATATGTTCAACCACAAAAGAAAAAAAAGTAAAGCAAAACACAATGAAATTATATTCATTATTAATGAACATTAAATTATTATAAAGTAAATTATAAAAAATTATGTTGAAATTAAATTTTGAAGAAAGAAAATCTTTAGATAATTTAACAAAAAATTTCTTAATATGTTCAAACTTTGCCAAAATGGAAAAGGATATCCACAAGAATATAAAAAAGTTGCAAGAAAATGCTGTGAATCTGATTTTAAAAAATTAATTAGGAAGTAAAAATTAAGACAGAAGTACTTGGGAATTGGTAAAAAAAATCCTTAATTTATATATATATATAC